CATAGCCTTGTATAAGGACTGAATATGCAGAGCCTTTGTCATTATAAAGTTTAATAGTTTGACTTGTGTACCCTCACCACTGAACTGTTGTATTCCTATGCATCTGCATTGTAGATCAATAAAGTGTGTGTAGGATCGTTGTAGTTTCACAGTTGAGAGTAGTGTGAAGACAAAGTGCTTTATTGGATTGTTTTGTTGGGCATTTTGTTGGGTCCATGTGGCTCAGCTGTGTTGATCTGAACCCACTGCGGGTTATTTGTATTATTGTGGACTTTTCTTATTCTTTTCCTATAGTTGAACCTCAGTGGTTTAAGGCAGGTGATGGAATTTGAACCAGCCATGAGCTTCAAACTGAATATAAATTGAGCAGTTCGTCACAGTTTTACTGTACAAGTGTGAGTCTGAATTGTTTTTGTACCAGTGCACTATTTCTAGTTTGATACATCTTTCAAGATGGTTGGTTGAGTGAAGTAAAGTTGCTAGAAGTACTGGAAATTCTCCCAAGGGATATTTAGGAGCCAGTTAAAAGAGAAACTGAACAAAAACAATGCAAAATTCCATGAAGTCCATTATTACATAAAGAAACTGTGAACCTATTGTTAATATCAAACCATTACATTAGTCATCACTTTTCCATTATTTTTTGGCCATATACACCGTCCTACATTACTTTTAGTACTTTATATTATTAATATTAACATTTTTACTTTCTTCCTTGAATTTTTGATTTACTTTTCTAATATTTTACTGGCTCAGCTACTGAAAGGAAACTGGGCTGTATCTGTGTTGACTTCCACCTGCATCTACAGGACCAGTGAGCTGGGGCCAAACAGAGAGGAGACCCGACACAAACCAGAGAGAGACAGAGGGATGGGCAGAGGCTGTTTTCACTCACCCCCTCATGTGATCTCTATTACTCCTCTGCCTGTTTCTGTCATCACATCATGTCAGTGCTCGGTTTCAACATACTGCTGACTTTATGCACATATTTGTCCACCTGTAACTCATATCCACAAAGACGGGGCTCCAAGAGAGGAGGCTAGTTCATGCCTTCTGAGATTCAGAGAGTGATTGGTGATATTGATGATATATCCTCAGAAACAGAGGAAGACACCAACACAGAGAGAGATATATGAGGTGAATCGGATGGAAGGAATCACAGGAACTTGTGCAAATAATACGACTAAGAAGACAAAGAAGAAGAAACAATGCAAAGAGCTAATGTGAGTTTAAATCGTGTGCAAATTGAACAACTTCTTTGTTTGTCTCTTTGAAATAATGATGTTTTTTTTTTACTCATCACTTCTTCAGTTAAATGGCCCCCACTGCACTTTGCCATCCACAGGTCACATGAGGACAGAGGTTGTTTTGGGTGAGGTGTTCCACCAACCGGTAAATCTCAAGGCCACATCCCAAACTCCACAAACACATGGCCGTGCATATGAATAGCCTTCTTGGTTCGAAACTAGGGTTGGGCATTTTTCTCGCCTGCAGAGGGAAAGGTTAGCAAAACCAGCTGACCCTCTGTTTCCTCAGCTACCAGTGTTTACATAAGCAACACGCTCGTATGTTCATGTACGTGCAATCACAGGGACCGCAAACCTCCGCAACAGGCTTTATCTGCACTAGAACAAATCAATCATATGTGTATGCGTGCATATGTGGGTGTGCCTTATGTGTGTTTGAATATGCAACCGTAGCAGTCATTCCCTCAAGCTTTTGAATTATGGATTATAGTATTAGCTGAACTATCATGAAGTCAGACTGAGCACGTTCTGGAGGAATAAATTGGCTTGACCGCTTAAAAACAGAGCTGATGCTTTGCGTTTTAGTCTCACTCACTGCTGCTTGGGGTATTTAAAACAAATGAAGGCAAATTAAAACAGTTAGACATTTTACTACATATGCTGCTTGTAAAACAGCATCATTAAAACCGTTCAAGTTTTGTGGTTAGGCAGATGAACTAAGACGAACAAACATCATTTTCTTTCTTCCTCTCTCCTCAGTTCTTTCATTCCTTGTGATTATGTGTTGCTCAATCTTACTCAGGCTCTTGTGGCTTTGGCAGTTGAACTTTGTGTTACTGGCTGCTGTTGCAGTGGGTTACTTATGAATAAAAACAAGAAAACAGTTCATTCCAATGATGGCGCTGCTTTTATACTTCTGATTAAAAGAGAATGATGGGGTGGGTCAGCGAGGTAAGGCCCTGACAGTTACAACAAAAAAATTCATCAAAATCAGATAGATGTTTTGTTTTTTTTTAATGTAGAACCAGTGTTTTGGTAAATTTGAAACCTGCACTGTATCTGTGCACTTCAAAAGACATACCACTGTGGGAAAACTCCATGGGTTTAATCTTTAATGTAAGAAAAACACAAGTGCTGAGTTTAAAAATGTATTTTTTCTGCAATTGATTAACCAAAGCCACATGACTGTAAAAATATAGTATATAGTATATAATAGAGTATTGTATTTGTAATAAGTAATGGCCATTGTGTGTGAGCATTACATAACAATGACACTGATCCGTCCAGTGTCCAGCTTTGTAGCTGTGAGACATACAAACAGTTGTGCACATTATTGTTCCTATCAGTATTGCACCTGGTCCATTAAAACAATGAGTTGCTTTCTAATCACAGTGGGTTCAGTGACATGTTTTCTTTTTCCAAATGTTGCTGTGTTCCTCTGTGTTATCATAGAGAGAGCAGGAGGTAGGCGGAGAAATGGTTCCCACATGTTTGAATATTACCCTGTTCATTAGCAGTGTGTGTGTTCATGTGTGTGTCACAGAGAGTTCTGATTAATTGGTCCTATCCAATAAGCTCTGGTTTCAGACCAGGCCACTAATTTGTTTATTTCAACTGCCTGACCGGACCTCACCAGCTGTGTGTGTGTGTGTTTGCACGTATGTATGCGTGTGTCACTTACACTCTCGACAGCACATGACTTGGCTTCAGCACCTCTTCCTCCTCTGCTCCTCTCTGTCTAGACTGCAGCGAAGAGAGCAAGAAGTAAACCGAGATGCTGAGTGAAATAAAGGCAGACAGAGAGGAGAAATCACAGAGAAACTATGCTTTCTGCTCAGCCTCTTTGTGGCCAGATGTGTTTGCCAAATAGATCCCAGTGGATGCTCCATTCTCTATAGATGGTTTAAACTGGTGTGCTGCTCACTGAGGCTCTTAAAAACCTTTCAGCGTATCATGCTTTGCTGATTTTGCATGGCACAGGGCCTTTTGTGATGACTGCCTCCCCAGAAATGAAGTAGCCTCTTGCATCCTCTAAAAGTAACACAGCCTACTGAAGTGTCCTTGAGCAAGACACTAAACTCTAGCTGTTCTATAGCCTGCCTGTCTGAATGCTGGCATGTCTGTTCACCTATTTGTCTGTCTGTGCCCCGTCTCACCTGGAAAATAAGAATATTTCCATTGATGCACAGCCAAATATACTGTCTCTCAACTGAAACTGCCAAAGCACACTAAAATATATAATAATATTTATCATGTCACATGTAAGACATATGTCTGAAGAAATACTGCACAGATCAATCACAGACTTGCAGGTTTAAACTGACAAAAAGTCAGCTGACTGCCAATCTTTCCACTCAGTGATAGGTCCATTATTAACTTAGCAATTTCCTTTAAGGTCCGGACCTCTTGTCCTTTTTATTGTCTTTCAAAAGCCAGAAGTGAATGTGAACAGAGTTAGAGTATGAGTACAGAGCTGCTGATGATAGCATGCATGGCTAACTAGAATAATGCCCACAGTAGCAGCCTAGCATTACCTCCAACCATATGAGTTGGCACATCATTTGCTAACTCCAGGGGTCTGTATATTGAAGACATCCACTGACGTGAAGCTGGTGTACCAACAGCCATGGTGGACAGTCATTTCAGCTGGTAGAAGAGACAGCCCAGAACAACTAAAAACGAGATGTCTGATTCTGTCCAGCACGATTTAAGGCTGTTCCAAAGCATGCAGTCGACTGAGGTATACTAGAGACAAATTGTATCAGTTAGATCTCAGCGGAGCCTGAAGCCTCAACTCAAGATATTATTCTTTGCTCTGAAGTAACTCTGCCTCCTCTGCCTCTGTAGCTGCAACTTCAAGTTGCAAACAAACACGGACTAGATAATAGTAATGCAACAGGGATTAGTCAGACACACCAAGTGGCGACAGATTATTCATCTCTGTGTTCTGTATTAGTCACAGCATGTCCGTATTTCATCAGCTGATTGTTTTAGGTCTCTAGCTGCCCTGCAAGCAGAGCAGGGAGCCAGGGTTTATTCATGATGAATGCTGCCTCTCCCCCTCTGACCCTGATAGATAGGACCTCCTCTGAGAGAGAAAGGAGCTGTTCTCTTCTCTCGTGATACTCCATCTTGCTCAGTGTTGTTGTGGAATCTGGGCTGATCCTGCTGTCCCCTCTCACCTCCATACCCACACACAGGAGATACAAACATCTGTCCCAGTGACGAATGTGAGATGCTTTTGTATTGGCTTGTTTTGATACTGTGCCATAGCCTTCCTGTGAGAAAAACAAATGTGTTTCCAGAAAATTCTAAAGTCAAAATGGACCCAATGGAGGTTCAACACAGGTATTATGGGCTGAATGGTATAGGTTTTGTGACCATGTGGCCTAATGGACAAGGCGTCTGACTTCGGATCAGAAGATTGAGGGTTCGAGTCCCTTCATGGTTGGATGATGCTTCCCTGTCTTTGAAGAAATCAAACAATTACCATCTTGCTTAGGTCAACTGCATTTAAGACTGCAGTAATTAGCTCAAGGTTATCAGGCAAAGCTCTAAAAAGTCCTTTAGATTGCCCCATACCCAAATAAATTCACTCAACCAACCTACTATCTTTTGAAAATAAGGAAAGCTGTAGATTATCAGAATCAGAATCAGAATACTTTATTAAGCTTATTAAGCTTAGTACAGCAATGTAGGAATGTAGAAATGAAAACCATGGGTCCATCGAATGGTAGAAACATTAGTTTGCATGAACATGTGGCCTAATGGACAAGGTGTCTGAGCTTGGATTAGAAGATTGAGTGTTCAAGTCCCTTCATGGTTGAATGTTGTTTCCTGTTCTTTGCAGTATCTCTGGAATTTGAAGGAGTCACACAAGAATCATCCTCCCTTAATCAGCCACACCAGTGGTCACAGTTATCAACTGAAGTCTATGGCATTGATAAAATCCTATAGACTCTGCCTCCCTTATATAATTGTGCTGGACAACAGTTTTAGTGTTTGCATATTATGTGTGCCACATATATGTATTTCGGTACAGCATAGTGTTTAATGTTTAAAGAAACAGAGGGCCGGTTAGCTCAGCTGGTCAGAGCGTGGTGCTAATAACGCCAAGGTCATGGGTTCAATCCCCATACTGGCCAGTAAAATCACTCTGATGTGGTTAATGAGGGCAGATCACATGGCGGTGAGCTCAGGTCTCTGTGAAGTTGGTGGTTGTATCTCAACTGTCTCCAGTGATGCTTTCACTCAGAATGCAACTGCCTCTCAAACTCTCCGTCATTTTGCACTCTCCACCACACCAAGCTGATAAAATGTTAATAATCATCCAAACCAAGGGCGCTTTGAAACGGAAGAACGGTATTATTGTGACCATGTGGCCTAATGGACAAGATGTCTGACTTTGGATCAGGCGGAAAGTCCCTTCATGGTTGCATTTTGCATCCTGTTCTTTGGATGACTGGGAGCACAGGAAGCATTCTACCTTACTTACCCACACTTGGGTACAGTAGTGTGCTGAAGGTTAGGCTGTTGATGCAAGGCCTGATAAAATCCTTTATACAGTGCTAGATCTCTATTTCGGATATTAAGAAATCTCTGTTTTGCTCTTGTTATTACAGACAAACTAAACAAGTAGATCACTTCATCACTCTGCTCAAATCTGCAGCATGTGGTGAGTGCAGTAGGCCGGTTAGCTCAGCTGGTCAGAGCGTGGTGCTAATAACGCCAAGGTCATGGGTTCAATCCCCATACTGGCCAGAAAATTAAAGGCTACCAAAGTATTTAATCAATATTACAAAATGTCAAAGGAAATTTCACCATTAATGTCTTTATGAAAGAAATCTTTTTTATAATTCAGTCAATATAAAAAAGATTTCTAAAAATCTCTCCTCTTTGTGGCAGATATCTCAAGATACTTCATCCGATCAATGATTGCATGATAGCACCTGTCCATTCCTAAATCTGCTGACCTTCCTTCACACTTCATTGCAATCTGTCAAGTAGTGTTTGAGATATCCTGACAAGTAACAGACGAACAATACGGAAAACAAGAGGTAACAAACAGGCAAACAGCGGTAGCAATTACAGTGGTCAGCATCATTTCCTCTGGTTTATTGGCCTGTACTGTGGTCAGACCCCCGCTCTCTCTTTCCCTCTCCCTGACCTCTGACTTTGACCCAGTGGAGTAACAGCAGGCCTGCCTCCCGTCCCTCTGACACCTCATAAACATTGACAACACCCTTTAACTAGCAACTAATCGCTGGCCTGCAATGGTGTGGACGGGTGACCAGGAACCTGTAATTAAAACTTTCCCATGGCCGGCCAACCGGATGAGGCACCTGTTAATGATGACATGATGTCATCCTGTTACCACGGCTACTGGTCCAATTAGTAAACAGAAGTGTTTTCCTAGCCTGTTTTTATTGAGGGCCACCAACAAAACTTTCTGGCTTAGCAGCTCCTGTATTTTTCTTTAGCAGTTGTTTTTGATGGCTAGCAGGGACATGGAGCAATTCCCACCTCACTCTGGCTTCTGACACTGTATTTAATCACACTTGAATGGAAACACATCTTGGGAAAAAAGTAACTACTACTATCTTAAAAAAGGAGTACCCACTGACCTTGACAGAGGCTGATTCACAGTCTGGATGTATCCCCATCTAATTTGAGCACCCATGTGTTATGCGATACCTTGGCTAACTTTAGACACCTTCTTTTGCCCTGGAGGTTTACTCTAAGAAAACGCAGCACTGGAACTACAAAAAGCACCTAAATGGCAAGATACCCCTAACACACATTGCTCTAATGTCAGCCCTAAAAGTTCACTAGCAGTTCACTGCCTGCTATCCACAAATCGGGAGTTAAATAAGGCATTACAATCTCACCGTGGACCTTGAGTGAGTCGCTTGAGCAACCCTACAACCCTCCCGACCACCCTTCCCCCAAACATCACCCCTCCTTTTTAGGTGAGGCCATTAAAATACACCTCCATTTTGCACAATAATCAGCCTTTATAATCATGCATATTAGTCCTTCCAATAACTTTAAACGTCATCTAATCCCCTAAAAGTGGCAGTGAGCGAAAGCTGGCCCTCATGCCTAATTTTACCCCAGTGGCTTTAGTCGGGCGCCTGGTCTTATTCAAACTTTACATGGCCCCAACACGTTTGAGAACAATGTGGGGGCCTTTAGGGAGCAACTATAGTGACAAATGAGGCCAAGTAGGTTTGCTGGTCTGTGACTGTCGCTGGAGTTAGAGTGGCTAATCTCTCAAAGTTTTAATGTGTTTCAGTCTTTGTGTGTGGTTTTGGACTTATAAACCCTGCACACTTGGGAATCTGCAATTCACTCTAAACCCCCAAGGTAAATTCAAAATGTCCTTTTTTCGCTGGCTTGAACTTTTATGAGGGACTTAGTTCAAATTGTGGATAAGAATAATTACTTTAGGCGTGTTTATGTCGTGGCCCTTATAGAACGCACAGAGATGCATTTACCCTGCCTCCAACCTAATGTGCAGTAGTAGATCTAAATTACTGTAGCAAACAATAAAACTAGTTTCGGACAAGACCACACTCTGACTTCTATACAGTATCTATAAGAGAGGTGGAAAAAGAGAGATTGATTCAGCATATATGCTACAAAGACAAGGACTTCAGGTGTTACATCTGTTAGAGGGTACAAACATGTGAGTGTGTGGTGTGCAGTTGCAAGTGTGTTAATTTACAAGTGGCCACACGTGCATCTGAATACATACATATTTTATATCTCCTAAGTGGTATTTCATTGTTTCCCTTTGTGTTGTTCCATGCAAATAACTGCAGCAGACGTCAGTGCTTCTCTCTGACTTCACTCTCTCCTTTTCTCTTTCTTCTTTGGTTTGCTCTCTCCACAGGTTGATGTAACCGGCACTAACTCTTACACCACGGCAGCTCCACCAGTCCCTGCTCAGGAAACTCTTTCTTTGTGGCCACAAATCACAGGCACGTACACACAGAAGTACATAAATTTGCAAACACACTTGTGTAAACACACTTTTACTGTAAATATAGTTAAGATGTAAGATGCTATTTTGCAAGGATCTAATTGTTGCACAGATGGGCTGCACTTTCTAGTCTTATGGACCTCAAAGTGTTTTACAGTGGAGGCCACATTCATCCACAAACATTCAAAAACACATTTTTGTTGAATTACAGTGCTTTTCTATCACACACACACACACACACACACACACACACACACTCACCCAGTGATGATACATGAAGACAATTTGGGGTTCAGTATCTTGCCCAAGGATCTACATATCAAACTGAGGGTCAGACATAAAGACCTACCTCCAATAAAAGTGTGTTATGTCCCAGGAGTTGGAAGTAAATAAAAGTTAAACTAGTGTAGGTCCCATATGGAGGCTGTGAGATGTGTGAGAGTCGACACGAAAAATATACTGTAGTGTTGGTTATGATGTGCCTCCTGGTGTCTCATGTCTTGATACGTGGCTTTTGGGCTTATTTACTGTGTGACCAGAATTATTATTGCAAATGAATGCTTATAGCTTCATGTATGCTTAATGAGTAACTAGCCAGTTTGCTAACATGTTAACATCTAAACTTTGTAAAGAGTATGTCAGTCTTATTGTCAGTCATGTTTCCCTGTGCTCAAATGACAATATCAATGAACACATATATTGAAATACTGTATATGTATTTCCAGCACACATGGGGCGTTATGTAATGGTGGAAACTATTCAAGTATATATAATAGACACCCAGAATTGCTTGAAAATCCTAATCCTAAAAATGTCTAATTTCCAGTGAAGTATGGATATCTGAATGAAAAATTGGTGAGTGTGATGTGTTAACAGTGACAAAAGGGGCAATATTAACATGTTTAAGATTTGTAGAAAAACACACAAAAGGCCCCCTCTGTCCAACATGGCTTCCGACTTGCTGTAGAGTGCTCCCGCTGTGTCCATACTAATGTGTTTCACTGAGCTCAGTTTCACATACAAACATGGAGAGCATATACATTCCTCACTAAATAACTACACTTCCTCCCTGATCCTCTTTCCATCTCGCCTCCTCTCTTTTCCCAGGGAAATAATTAAAAAGCCCCGCTGCTCTCTCTGATATTCCCCTGATGACCCACTGCTCTGAGGCCAAGCATGGAAGCTTTTGTTTTATGTGCTTGTAAGGTCTTGGCATTAGGAGGAAGTACTGAGCTTGCCAGGGATATATATCTGTCTCAAACCACATCTACACTGCACACACACACTCTATACAGTGGTGGTCATTGTAACAGACACAGTTCATGCATTACACATGAATGCATCGTGGATTATTGCTACATACAGGAGATGGAACATGAGTGTGTGGTAGCATAAATAGCAGTTGTGATCTCATGCAGTTTGTTACTCATATGTTTCAGAAAACGACTTTTAATTACTTTCAGGGATAACAGACCTATCAGTGTTTTTAAGGCTGATGGCATTGTTTTATTGTATATATTTATTTATTGTATTTATCTTTTGCTTTTGCAGAGAGCATGGTTGTGTTCCAGTCTTCTGCATGATGTCCCGCACTCCTGCCACCCGTCCTGACATCTCTTGGTGAGTAAAACAATCAAGTTGAACTTGCATCGTCTCTTCCAGTCTGGTAAGTAAACAGCTGGTAATGCTAATGCTTGGTATGTAGCAACAAAACTACAAGCTGAAAATAAATGATACGATGCTGAACCATGGTGAGTCAACACCACACACCACAGACTGTTTTCTCCCAGGTACATCAGTTACTCTGATCTCAGGGTGCAGACTGTCCTCTTCACAATCTT